TGTGCTTGGTTGTCTGTCTCTAAGTGTAGCCCTGTGATAGACTGGTTACCTGTCCAGGTGAACCTGCCTTCACCCTGAGTCAGCTGGGATAGACTCCGCCCCCCAGTGAGGATGAAGGTGTAGAGACGATGAGTGGATGGAATCCGTGCAACAGTTTTGCATTTTGTGTAAATTCAGATTGGAGCAGCTGAAATTAGACACATCCAAAGACAAGGTGCTATGAGACATATTTTCTTTATTTATTACAAAAAATATAATGTGATAGTGCAATAAGTTACTCCTGAGTGGCTCTGGTTGGTGAGTGCAGTCACTTCGCCTTCAGGTCAGTTCTCAACAAGAAAAGATGCCCGTCCCATGTTCAGCGTGTTTCATCTTGGTCCAGACTAACCACAGGAGCTCCTTCGGCTCAGACCACAGTCATCTCTGGTCCAGGCACTTCAGGTAATCCTCACATGAAGAAGTCCCTGTAGAGGAAGTCTTTGTCCAGCAGGTGGAGCAGTTTGCTCTGGTGCAGCACTGGACAGGCTATCCGTTAAACTTGGATGAAAACCTGACAGACAGGAACAAAGTGATAGGGGATTACAGTCATCGCTGGTCTTTGACTGCTCACTTCAGCTCTGCAGGTCTCAGGTTGGTCTTAAAACAAAGTTCTGGAGCCCATCTGGACTCTCAAACAGGCTTCACTTCCCAAGTGGAACTCAGGCAGCGTGAATAATGAAGGCTGTCCAGCAGAGTCCTGTTAAAGTGGCCAAATGATCAGAATATTGATCCAGAATTTTCTCCTGTTCTCTTCCAACAGGAGCAGCATGCCCTCAGCGGATCACGTGTAAACTCAGGTGTGAGTCTCACCTGTGCAGGTCCTGATTGGCTTTGATTCACGTTTGTGACCCATTGAAGCCTTTCATTACCCAGCATATTGTGCTTAATATTGTGCTCCTTTGACTGATGCAGCCTGTTGGACGTCTACAGCAGACCTGCAGCCACATGGCCATTGTTCCCATTTGGACCCTCTTTAGCAGCAGAACCACATTCAGCCACATGCAGCCAAGACCGTTGGGCCCGTCATGATTTGGCATGAAGAAGAAAAGAGGTTTCACTGTGTGTGTGCCTCGTGTCAGTGGAGTCCCCAGTCGGTCCACTGAGTGCATAACAATAATACACCAGAACCTGCACAGCGCTGACAGAACCTTCTGTATGTTTCTGACTTCTGGGTTAGCGTTTTAAATGTGTGATCCTGACTTGGTTCTCGTTGTCCTGTTGATCCCAGACACACAAACCCACCTCACTCAGAACAGCCCAGACGTCGGAGTTGGACTGGACCACCAGGCGAAGTGCAGAAACCGGCTGCAGCGCTTCTTCAATCTCACCTTCAGCGACTCCATTTTCAAATTTACCTGAAACACACCACAGTGGTTCATGAAAGTTCAAGCTAACGGCACGTTTTCACGCTGACTGAGTGTCGACCAGTCTCTCATTCACCTCAGCCACTTCCTGTGCACCGTCCATTCAGGAGCTGTTCTCAGCCGGCTGCACCTGGACTGACTGCACTCCGTCACTCTGCTCTCAGAAATGTCCAGCAATGGACAGCATCAGCTACTGTTTTTATAGTTATCCAACATTGAGCTCACCCTCTGTGTTGACAAGCTACACTACACACAGCAGCGCACGTTTCCTACTGCTAGGAACCGGGTCGCTGCTCCAGTTCTACCGTAGTGGAGGAGTTCTGCTCTGCTCTATGTTCTCAGGCTAGTTCTGGTGTTTAAGGTTTCAGGACAGCTCATTGGAGGAACAGAAGCCAATGAGATCACAGAGGAAAGTGTTGTCTCTGCTTTCTTGTTAGAATAGAATAGAATAGAATTTATTGTCATTGTACACAAAAAGCATACAACAAACTGGTGGGTTAGGGTTGAGGGTCAGGGTTTAGGGTTCCCCATCGCGCCCTTAAACAAAACAAAATCCAGCCAGCCTTTAAACAGTACCAGTGGACGTGCAGATGGCCAGACGCTGACCCGAGCTTGACCACGTGTCCGTGGTGGTCGTTCCTCCTCTGAGTCTGAAGCCTAATCGGCGGCACATTAAAACTGTTGTCTGGGCTGAAGGCTGAAGAGACGGAAGTGTGCAGTCTTACTGGGACAATGTTTATCTTTCAGCTGTCATCAAACAGGCTCCGCCCACATCGCTGCTCCATCACTGACCGCCACCACAGCCTTGGCCTCTCATTTCATGATTCCTGTGTTGCTCCACCATCGCTGGCATTCATGCACACGTGACACACATTTCCGTTCAGGGACTGTTTGCATATCATGGATGCACTTACCGATGACGATGAAGCCTTGATCGGATTCTTTAAAGTGTGAAGACGAGTCGATGACTAGTTTGTGTCTGGCTGACGCCTAAAAGAAGAAAACAAAGCTCAGGCAGCTGTACCAGACTAAATGCTGGACTTGTGATAGGAAGAGAAATCCTCCAGCTTCTGACACAGAACACAACCAGGAAGGCTTCCAACACGAACGGACATTAATCGGCCTGAATACGAGCCAGACGCAGGGACAGTCATAGTGTCAGACAGCCAATCAGGAGCGTGGATTCATTCACCCTGTTCACAGCCAAACTCGGAACTCACCTGTCGAGGACCGCTCGTCCCACCTGTACTGACCCGACTTGTTACTGTGGCACTTTATTGTGTTTTCTGTGGTTTCTGCAACGTGATACGTGTTGCACCTGTTTTCTAAAGTGTCCTCGGATGTCTTGAAAGGTTTTGTACTCAAATAAAATGCATTATAAACACGTTATATCTGAAAATGGAAACACACTGATGTGAATTCTGTCTTCAAAAACGCCTGTTTTTCTGTTTCCGGGTCGTGCTTCATTCAGCCTCATTCAAGATGCCGCTGAGTTAGAGAATGAAAGATGTAAAGAAACCTGGACAATACAAGTATGAGAAGGCCAAATTCTGAAAAGAATTATTTTTTAAAAAGACATGAATTAGAGCATTTCAAGTTTTAATAATCAACAAAAACAAGAACTGCTGGAAGTAAAATAATCGAACTAAAGGATAAAAATGAGTTTGAACTGTTCTGCAGGTTATTTAGCACACGGCGAGTCAAACTGGATTTTCTTAGCGGTGCTGCAGCGTGATGCCCGCTAAAAGAAAGTATGAGGAAATGTAAGGAGGTTAAAAGTGGCCGGCCTTATAAATAAACCAGACCCAGAGTCACTCAGTGTTGTCACTACGCTCCAATGGCAGCACCGACCGTTCACAAGTATTTCAGAACCCAGCAGCAGGTCGGGGCTGTTTTAATGCAGAGAACAAACAGAACGGAGTGACGGCAACAGTTACAATCACAAGTCACCCCAACATCCCTTTGGTCAAAACTTCTCTACGCCAAACATAAAAGTTTGAATATTGGAGGAATTTAGTCCCACATCAAACCAAAAACGTGACTGGTTCCTTTGGTTTGTTCCATATGAAACCTCAGAAGTCCGAATCTGTGCTTCTGTACACTGCTGCTTCATGACATGGCTCCTAGCATCTAAAATACACCGTGCGGACGTATTACCAAGGCCAAAACCTACAAACTATAAATATATATATACACAGATATGTGTGTGTTTAGCTCAGGGCTAGGAAGGATAAAGTAGGGTAGATTAATTAGCATTAGCATTAATTAGAATGGGTTGAATTAGCCCCTTAGGAATAAGAGATACTGAAGCGGCCGAACTATAAGACAACCCGAGCTGACCTTCCTTTTTAAGGATAATAAACACTTTGGTCCTCCTTGTCTGTGGAGAGAAACAAGTGAACCAGGAACAGCACCGGCACATGAAACCCTCATTTCAACAGTCAGACTCTAAAATGATCTGAAAGTTTT